AGAAGAATGAGTGCCTGTGAGATGCCAACCCTAAGTGACAGAGTGACGTATGATTCCCTCTGTTTTTTTTTTTTTAATACTAGTTAGGCATTATTTATCTCTCTTTTCTCTCTCCCTGTCTAATCCCCTCTCCCCACCTTCCCCTTTTAAGTGTCCCCATTTTCCCCATTTCTCCCTGCTAATTCATGTCTGCTATGGTCCCACCTCTCTTGAACTCCTTCTTCCTCTTTATCCCCATAGTTCCTTGTAAACCCATCCCTCTTCCCCCTCCCATTTAACTACCCCCATTTCACACATTTCTCCCTTAATAACACCTGTCTTGTACGGTTCTCTCTTGGGTTCCTTCTTTCCCTTTATCTCCCTGGTTCCCTTCCATTTTCCTGGTTCCTGAAGTAACATCAGGATATATACTCACTTACTAGGATTTGGTACTACGATCCACCAATGAGGGAGAACATATGTCTTTTGTTTTTCTGAGTCTGTGTTACTTCACTTAGTGTAACAGTTTCTAGATCCATCCATTTACCTGCAAATTTCATTATTTCATCTTTCTGTACTGCTGAGTAGAACTCCATTGTGTAAATATACCACATTTTTGTTAACCACTCATCAGTTGAGGCACACTTAGGTTGTTTCAAGCTCTTGGCTATTGTGAAAAGAGCAGCAACAAATATGGTTGTACAAGTGTCTTTGCAAAAGGATGAATCCTTTGGATATATGCCAAGGAGTTATATAACTGGGTCATATGGTAGGTTCATTTTTAGATTTTTTTTTTTTTTTGGTCTTTTTGAGACAGGTCTCCCCGTAGCCCCAGCTGGCCTGGAACTCACTATATAGGCCAGGCTGCCTTGAACTCACAGAGATCTGCCTGCCTCTGCCTCCTGAGTGCTGGGACTAAAGGCGTGCACCACCATGCCCAGCTCTCATTTTTAGATTTTTAAGAGTTCTCCACACTGCTTTCCATAGTGGTTGCAGGAGTTTGCCATCCCACCAGCAGTGAATGAGCGGTCCCCTTTCTCCACATCCTCACCAGCATTTGGTATCATCTGTTCTCTTGATCTTAGCAGTCTGACTGGGGTAAGATGAAATTTTAAGGTGTTTTTAATTTTCATTTCCCTAATTACTAATGGTGTTGAACACTTTTTAAGCTGTTTCTTAACCATCTTTATTTCCTCTTTTGAAAACTCTCTGTTTAGATCTTTAGCCCATCTTTTAATTGGATCATTTGTTTTCTTGATTCTTTGTTTTTGTGAGTTCTTTATATATTCTGCATGTTAAACCTCTGTCAGATATGTCACTGGTGAAGAATTTTTTCCAGCTCTGGATTTTCTCTTAATTTCCTTGATTGTTTCTTTTGCTACACAGAAGCTTTTTAGTTTAATGAGGTCCCACTTGTTGATCCTTGACCTTAATTTCTGAGCAACTGGTGTCTGATTTAGAAAGTCTTTTCCTACACCTATATCTTGTAAGTTACCGCCAACGTTTTCTTCAAGCAGTTTGAGAGTTTCCAGTTTCACTTTGAGGTCTTGGATCCATTTGGAGTTGACTTTTGTGCAAGGTGAAAGATAAGGATCTAGTTTCATTCTTCTACAGGTGGAGAACCATTTGTTGAAGATGCTGTCTTTCCTCCATTGTGTGTTCTTGGCACCTTTGTCAAATATCAGGTGGCCGAAATTGCATGCACTCATGTTTGGGTCTTCTATTCTGCTCCATTGATCTATGTGTCTATTTTTGTGCCAGTACCATGCTGTTTTTATGACTATAACCCTGTAGTAAAGTTTGAGATCTGGTATAGTAATTGCCCAGCATTGCTCTTTGTGTTCAGGGTCGCTTTGGCTATCCAGGATCTTTTGTTCTTTCATATAAATTTAAGGATTTTTTTCTAATTCTGTGAAGTATGTCATGGGGATTTTGACTGGGGTTGCATTGATTTTGGTAAGATGGTCATTTTCATGATATTAATTCTTCCAATCTATGAGCATGGGAGGTCCTTCCATCTTCTGGTGTCTTCCTCAATCCCTTTCTTTAAAGACTTAAAATTTTCATTGTAGAGATCTTAATTGTCTTTGGTCAGGTTTATTCCAAGATATTTTTTGAGGCTATCGTGAAAGGGAGTGTTTCCATGTACTCGTTCTCTGATTGCTTGTTATTGGTATATAGAAAGGCTACGGATTTTTTTTGGTCTTTTTGAGACAGGGTCTCCCTGTAGCCCCAGCTGTCCTGGAACTCACTATGTAGACCAGGCTGGCCTCGAACTCACAAAGATCCGCCTGCCTCTGCCTCCCAAGTGCTGGGATTAAAGGTGTGTACCACCACGCCTGGCCCGGCTACTGATTTTTGTAATTTTGTACCCTGCCTCTTTACTGAAAGTGTTGATCAGTTCTAGTTTTCTGGTGGAATTTTGGGGATCTCTTATAGTATTATATCATCTGCAAAAAGTGATGATTTGAGCTCCTTTTCCAATTTGTACTCCTTTAATTTCATTCTCTTGTCTTATTGCTCTAGCAAGAGTTTCAAGCACTATGTTTATAAAAAAGAAATGGAGATAGTGGGCATCCTTGTCTGGTTCCTGATTTTAATGGAAATGCTTCCAGTTATTTTTTTCCATTTAGAATGATGTTGGCTGTGGGCTTGTTGTATATAGCTTTAATTATGTTGTGGTATGTTCCCTCCAGTCCAATTGCCTTTAGGACTTTTACCATGAATGCATGCTGAATTTTGTCAAAGGCCTTTTCTGCATCTATTGAGATGATCATATAATTTTCGTCTTTGAGTCCATTTATATGATTTATGTTTATTGACGTCTGTATATTGAACCATCCCTGCATCTCTGGAATAAAGCCTACTTGGTTATGGTGGATGATCTTTTTGATGTGTGTCTGCATGCTGTTTGCCAAGTATTTTCTTGAGAATTTTTGCATCTATGTTCATTAAGGATATGGGTCTATAGTTTTTGGGTTTGTTTTGTTCTGTTTTTGGTTATGTCTTTACCTGGTTTGGGTATTAGAGTGACGCTGACTTCATAGAAGGAATTTGGGAGTTCTTCCCCTGCTTCTATTTTTTGAATAATATAGGTATTATTGGTTGCAAATCTTCATTAAATGTCTGGTAGAATTCTGCTTTAAATTGATCTGGGCCTAGGCTATTTTTTAGTTGGGAGGTTTTGTATTACTGTTTCAATTTCCTTATATGTTATGGGTCTGTTTAAACTGTTGATCTCTTCTTGGTTTAGCTTTGGTGGTGCCCATGATTTTAAATATCCATCCATTTCTTTTAGGTTTTCAAATTTAATAGCATATAGGTTTTTAAAGTATTACCTTATAATGTTCTGGATCTTTTGGGTGTCTGTTGTGATGTTTTCCATTTCATATGTGGTTGGTTTGGATTTGCCCTTTCTTTCTTTTGGTTAACTGGGCTAAGGGTCTGTCTATCTAGTTTAGCTTTTCGAAGACCCAGCTCTTAGATTCATTGATTCTTTGTATTGTTTTGTTTCTAGTTCATTAATTTGTGCTCTGATTTTTGTTATTTCTTCTCATCTGCTTGGTTTAGATTTCATTTGTCCTTGCCTTTCCAGAGTCTTGAGTTGCAATACTAAGTCATTTATTTGTGCTCTTTCTGATTTTTTAATGTAGGCAGTTAGAGCTATAAACTTCCCTCTTAGGACTGCTTTTAAAGTGTCCCAGAAGTTTTGTTGTGTTGTATTGTTCTTTTTTGTTGAATTCCAGGAATACTTTTCTTTCTTTCTTAATTTCTCCTTTGACTCACTCATCATTCAGGAGTGTGTTGTTTACATGAGTTCATGTGATTACTAGGGCTTCTTCTGGTGTTGATTTAAGTTTTATTGTGTTGTGGTCTGATAGAATGTGTGAAATCATTTCAATTTTTTGTATTTGTTGATGTTTGTTTTATACACTAGTATGTGATAAATTATTTGAAAGTTCCATGGGGTGCTGAATAGAAAGTATATTCTTCAGTGCTTGGGTGGAATATTCGGAAGATGTCTGTCAGGTTTTACAATCTGGTCAATACCATTAACCTGAAATTCTTCTCCTTTCTCTATGCCTATGATGCATAGATTTGGTCTTTTCACATTGTCCCACATTTCCTGCATATTCCATTCCTGTTCTTTTCTTTTAATTTTTCATAATCTTTGCTTGAGTGGCCCAATTCTTCAGCTTTACCTTTCAGTGTTGATCTTCTGTTTTCCATTTCATGTCAATGAAAGCCTCCTATCAGTGAGGATTTCTGTTGTTTCAAATTGCTTTATTGAGTTTTTTACTTCATTTAGGCCTGAGTTTTCTTCAGTATTTCCTTTTCTTTTGTGAATTCAGTCAGAATTTTAGCCCCGTCTTCTTTTAGTTCTTTGATTTGTTTGTGTGTTCTTTAAATTCGCTGAATTCCTTGATCATGTTTATAATTGTTCTTTCAAATTCTGTGCCCTGGATTATCTCTAGGTGGTTCTCCTTGTAGAGCTCTTCTATAGGACTGGGGGAGTTTGGTGGGAACATACTTAGTTTTCCATATAACTATTTTTCCATTGCAATTTTGGCATGTGGATTTCTTTTGTTGTTTGTGATTCTGGTATGAAACACAAGCCTTCCTTTGTTAGTTGAAGTCTGCTTCTGTTTGTATTATTGGTGTGTCTTGGTTGTTTTTTTTATTGGGTATGTAAAGCTGGTTGGTCTAGGTTCTCTGAGAGTTTGTATTGGAGGGAACTGATGTCTTCAGATCAGCTACTGAGGAGCTCCCACAGAGGCCCAAGTCAGGTTCCAGTCAGGTACACTTAGGCTTCCTTCCAATGTCTAGACCCCTACTAGCCAGCACTCACAGCACAATCTGGGAAGTTAACTAAGGGGAGGCCTGATTTAGGCACTCTCAGGCAGTCTGCTAAAGTCTCAGCCCCTACTGTAAGGCAGAGAGGTCTAGCCCTGGTGAAGTGGGAGGGGCCTCACATGGCCCCAGTTAGGGGGCTGAGCAGGGTGGGATTTGGGGAAGCTTACCACCACAGGGAGGATGGATCCAAGCACTCTCAGGCACTCTGCTGAAGTCTGGGCTCCTACTGTAGGGCAGAGAGGTCTGTAAATAATTAAAAAAAAAAAAAAAAAAAAACAAAGAAAAAGAAAAAAAAAAAAAAAAAAAAAAGAACAAATTTTAAAAAAAAGTACAGGAAGAGCTCTGATGGTTATTTGTTCTGAGGCTCACATTCTAAAATAACCTCATTTGAAATTTTTTACATTATCAACAATATTTTATACATTCATAGAGACATTAAAGGAAGAAATTAATTATATCTGGGTTTGATGCACAACTGTAATCCCAGCCCTCGGGAGGCAGTCAAGTCTGAGTTCCAGGCCAGGGTGGGTCACTTAGGTGTGTCTCCAAAAGATACCAGACAGGAGATGAATTACTTATAAACCTTAAACTTTAGTCCCATGATGCATACAAATTGGCTTTTTTTCATAAATACATAAAATATATTGCTGGGAATCCATTACATTATCTTGCCACTGTCTTTGCAATGGTGTGGTAGCATTTAAATATTAAAGTGTTAAAACCTCCAGGGCCATCATATCTAAGTAGTATTTGGAAAAGTGGTGTTTCAAGTTTTTTGGATACCTGTGGAGAGTGAGTTGGCGGTCCTGACTCCACCGAAGGACAAATCTCTCTTACTGTTTAATTTACCGCATAAAGCAATAATTAGAAAAGGCCAGAGCAGCGCTGCAACACCTTAGGAGAACGTTATTTCAGTGCCTCTTGGAGAGAAAGGGAAAATTTGAAAAAAAACAGCTAGTAGTTCCTGTTCAAGCTGACGCACTTCCGCTCTCCTGACCGGTGAATCACGGCGCGCCCTGGTGGTGACCCGCCGCTGGAGCTGGTGCAAGCATCCTGCCTCCATGTTAATCAGGCAGTTTTCTTTAGAGGTGAAGCTAGACCGCCTCTCACTGTTCACAGCAACCGTCCTCCTCCGTCTCAGCGTAGTGCAGCCTAGAGCAGTGAGACGTATGGGTAATGCTGCGTGGTCTTGGATGTACCGGGATAGGGGATTACGTTTCCCTCTAAAGACCCTATGGAACCAGCGAGCTCTGATCCTAGAGGAGGCTCCGTCAGTGCCTGCGTTCACCTTAGGGCATTTTTCTGCAGTTACATCAAAACCTGGATACTGCCCGGAGTTTCCACTTAACTGCCCTTTTGTCCTATTACCTGTATGCCGACATTAGATAGAGGCTGCAAGGGGATCAACAAGTGCTGTTTCTTTTACAGTCAGAAGTGGTGTGTGGAACCTTGGAAGAACCTGAATTGTACGTGGCTCCAGACCTGCTGTTCTCAGTGTTGACCAGAAACCTTCATGAGGGACCGTGAGAGAGCTGAGAGCTCAGTGCTTACAGAAATCACTGCAATGAGAACTTTTAAATTGGGGATAATCCAGAAAATGCACTATTCAAGCTGGATGCGGGTGGCCCACACCTGAAATCTCAGCACTTGGAAGGTAGAGACAGGAGGCTCAGGAGTTCAAGGTCAGCCTAGGCTCATGAGACTCTGTCTCCAATACCAATAGAAAAATTTTAAACCCCTGTACCTTTCAATGCTTGAAATGGGCACCACACGTCTCTGAATAATGGAGACATTTGAACAACACTGTCTCTAAGCAGCTCAACTATTACTGAATTTTTTGTCACGATTACTTTCAATTTCTCTTTTCCCACTTTGTTCTATTTCACATTTAAATTGAAAAGTAAGTGATTATGATTTCATAATTTCTTAGTTGACTTGCCCAGAACTCTCAGCCCTCAATCCTTAATTTCTTGAGAACTCATCCAAGTGTTCTTGGAAGGAGAATATTTAGCAGGATCTGGTCACAGTGGCCCTGGGAACCAAAACCATGTCCCCAGAACAGTTTACAACTGCTCCTAACTCTGATTCTTCTCATCCTAGATGGAAACCCTTTCTTTTTAAAAAAAAAATTTTATTATTTTTATTTTATGTGTATGAGTGTATTGCCTGCACCTGTGTCGTGCAGTGCTCTTGGACGGAAGAAGAGGCCGTCAAATCCCCTAGAACTGAAGTTATGGATGGTTGTTGGCTTCCAGGTGGGTGCTGTGAATCAAACCCAGATCCTCTGCCGGAGCAGTCAGTGAACTTGACCAATGAGTCATCACTCCAGCCCCTAAAAATATTTTTATTTAGTATTTTTATGTTATATATGTATGACTCTTTAGCCTGCATGTATTTAAGTGCACCCATGACCTGAGGTACCCCTGGAGATTAGAAGAAGGTGTCAGATTCCCTGGAACTGGAGTTACAGATGGTTGTTAGCCACCACGTGGTGCTAGGAAAATCCAGGTCCTCTGCAAGAGCAGCTAGTACTCTTAACTACCAAGCCATCTATCTCTCCAGCCCCTGCTGTGTAATTTTTGTTTTTGTTTTTGTTTTGTTGTTTTTTGTTTGTTTGTTTGTTCTTTGATCTTTTTGAGGCAGAATCTCCCTGTAGCCCCAGCTGGCCTGGAACTCACTATGTAGACCAGGCTGGCCTTGATCTCACAGAGATCCACCTGCCTCTGCCTCCCGAGTGCTGGGATTAAAGGCGTGTGCCACCACGCCCGGCCCCACTGTCCACTTTTGACTATATGAAAATCTGTAAGGTTTCTCTTCTCTCTCTCCTCTTTCTCCTTCCCTTCCTTATCTCCCTCCATGCATCAATTATAATTCTTTGGGGAAGAATGTTGTTAGAACAATTCTTTCTCCTCTCTCATGTAACTACTGAAACTTTATGGAGATAGATGCGTGTTCTTAAGTGGACTTCCAAATGAATACATTACAGCAGAACTGTTTTGTCATCAAATTATGGCTGCAGTAGATACACAACTACATTGTGTATAATCCAATAAATAATTCTTGTTCTGTGGAAAGTGTGGTTACCTCATCTCAAATGTCTGACCCTGCAGCTACTTCTGTAGACTGGGCATTCTTCCTGAATTTGAGAAATAAAACCTTTCCTAACATCATGCCTGGCACACAGCAAACATATAGCTGAGGCTGATGATCCCATCCCTGGGAGCTGGCAACAGATAGGACTTTTAAGAATTAACCTTTCCTGGGGCTGGGGAGATGGCTCTATGGTTAAGAGCACTGGCTGCTCTTGCAGAGGACTGGGTTCCCAACACACACATGGCAGCTAATAACCATCTGTAGCTCCAGTTCCAGAGGATCTGACGCCCTCTTCTGACTTCTGCAGGCATTGCACAACATAGGTACACTTACATACATTCAGGTAATACACTCATACACATAAAATAAAAATAATAAATAAAATATGTTTTAAAAGAATTAACCTTTCTTTAAAAATGACACATAATTCAGCCTTACCCTAGATACATAAACAATTTATTTGAGTGGCTTAATTGAGGTAATTATAGTTAATAACATCATAGACTTGAATTTTATTATGGATAAATGGAGGGAGGGGTCAATCTTGTCATTTAGAAACCACAAATGATGTACAACATTTATTCCCTGAGTAAAGAGAAAACTGACCTGGATACCTGTATACTCAACTCATTGAAACTTGTTTTCATAATAAGGCCTGGAAAATCTTCACTCTCCAGTGTCCTCCAGGCCTGGCTTCAATACCTTCTGCACATTGACCAGTTGTGGGTTTCTGTGTTAATCTAGAGATGGTCCAGATTTTGAGAATTCTAATCTAATCCTATTATTTTACTGCATGATATTCTATAACCTAATGACTTAGATTTTTTTATTCTCTATATTTAAACAGAATGTTTGTTCCCTTCCATTTCCTTCCCCTTTTCATATAAGTTATCATTGTTCAAGGTTTTTTTATTTCTTTCTTTTTCTTAATATTTAATTAGTATTTATTCATTGTATACAACAGTGGGTTTTTTTTTCAAAATTCACATTGTTAAAGCTTGGTAGTACAATTTTGTCAGTAACCAATATTCAAAAATTAGAGTAAACACATAGAATTTTGAATTGACATTCTATAATATAATTATGTGTTTTTAGTTTGAGGGTTATATCAGTTTAGTTATTAGAGTACTTCTTATTTCTTTTGTTTTTTAAAAATAATTTATTGAGAATTTCATACAGGCATATAAGCATATAAGGTGTTTTGATCAAATCCACACCCACTCCCTCCCCTCCAACTCCTCCCATATCTCCCCATCACTTTTTTCTGATAACTTCATGTACTCTTCTCTTTTTATGGGGCCTTTTGCTATTCTAACATCCCCTCCTCTGAAGAGGTAACCCTAAAATCATTTAAGGATTAGATAGGCGCTCCCAATTACTTTTAACGTTTTTGGCCTTTGGAACAGATTATGTTGCTAACAGGCCCAAGGACATTTTGACTTTTAGCCAAGAAACGGGTTACATTTCTTTGGGGTCTTTTTACCTAACTGCCTAGCCAATTCCTACCTCCTATTCTTATCGCACCATCCTCTGAAGAGGTTACCCAAATTGCCAATAGGGAATCAGGACTCAGACCACTCTGGCTTCTTCCATGCTGAACAGGGATGCAGGGTGAGGCAACTGGGGTATCCCTTCAGTGGGTCTAGCTAAAAGACTCCCAAATTGCATAACTCTTATCTGTAGGGAGAAAAGAAAGTCCTTGACTGGTGCCTAGGAGATGTGAAGGAGAAGTAAAGGCAAGAGTAGTTAGCATTACAAGTTCTAGACAGGGAACTAGAAAAAAAGTCAGAACAGGACAAATTTCAAATGTTCATATCACAGTCTATTGGAATTTCTTGACGAGAGCTTCCAAAAGCATCCCTCAATTGGGTTCCTCCTCATTTTTCTTTTGTCTGCCAAGGCTGGACTCTAGAGTGATGGATTCAGGATTTGCTTTCAGGCATTTTGATAGCTGTTGGAGTGGTTAGAATCAGTATCGGTTCCCCCTCAAAGGCTTCTAGATAGGGGGAGAAAACAAATTTGGCCATCATTTTAGAACAATAGCGGGTTGTCTCCCTTAGCTACAAGTGGGCACTACAGTGTTGCAGATCAAGATTTGAAGTCTTACATCTGAGCAGGACTTTCTGATTTGGAAC